GAAGATCAGCAGATGGTGTGGTAGTTAAGGTGTTGGACTTCCACATGGCTAACCGTGGTTGAAGTCCTAGACCTGGCAGTGTGAGACTCACACTGGGTGTGTGTGTGCATGTGTGTGTGCCCAAAGTCCCAAGAAGGGATTGTGACATGGCTATCTCCTGGGGGGGGGGATGTGATTTCTCACTTTCTGTCTCTCTTTGTGTTTCTGTGAGTGCACATGCCCTGTAGCAAAAATCTCTAATAAAACAACAACAATAACGACAAAAATAAATAAGAAGGAAAGAAGGAAAGGAGGGAAGTAGAAAGGGAGGGGAAGAAGCTTTAAAAAAAAATCACCATCCTCTCTGGTGTAATCAATAACATATTGAACTGTAGAGCTGGAAGCTGCACGCTGATTCAAATCCCTGGCCTCGTCAGCCTGAAAACATGCTGGGTGTGTGCATGTGTGCCCAGGATCTGGCCAGCTGGAAGACTGGAGGACTGAGGAAGAGGGTCATGGTGTGACCAAGCCTTCTGGAACCATTCAGGGTGTTCCCCTTTCTCTCTTTCTCATGTGTGTGCATATGCACATGGTCTATCATGTTTTTTTTTAACGTTTAAAAAACTACATTGATAAATTGTTTGAATTGTTCAAATAACGTATAGGAGGGAAAGAAAGAAATAGAAGAAACAAAAACAGAAGGAACAAATAGAAAGCAAAAAATATGTCAGATCTAAGTTCTGACATAGCCGTATCAATGATTAGTGGGCCCTGGACTCCCCTTCCTCTCGGCCCCTCGAGGTTTTTGAAGCATCCCTCCTCTTGGAGAACTTTTCTTGAAAAGGCAACTGATCCCAGGAGGAGAGTCATCACACATACCAAACTCATTTCCTGAGACTCTGTCTTTTTGGACTCTCCTGGCTGAGGAATTTCTTAATAGAGCTCTGATGTCATCAGACAAATTTTTAACAAAGTACTTTTTCCAGCTTTATAATTGTCCTTGGCTTTGAGTCATATTCCCTTATTATAGTTTTTCCAAGAATTTAGTAACTTATATTACCCAGTGCGTTCTCTGTTGTTGCAGATACTTTACTTTTCCCCTTTCGTTTAGGAAACAAAAAATGTTTTTCAAGGGCACGTGTGCTCACCAGAGTCAGGGAAGAGATAAAGCACTCTTCAGTGGACTGTGGTCACACCACAATCCCTTCTCCATTTCTTCATCCTGTTGGGACTTTGGGTATGCACACTCTTATGCCTGGCATGGTTTCAAGTCACCAGGGCTGGGATTCAAATCGCACCATGGACCACGTGGTATCCAGCCCTCTCAACCAGTAGGCTATGGAGCTAGCTAGCCCTCCCTGTCATTTCAATGAGGTATCAGGAAGAACCGTACATAAGGACGGAAAGGCAACACAGGCTCATTCCTGGAGCTTCCATTCTCTTGGGTCCTGGGGTGAAACTTCTGCATTATCTTGTTAGCTCTGCAATGTCCTCAGCTGGTATAAGAGTTGAAGCTTATTGCCTGGCCTAGAGACTGCAAATCATGGCCTGTGCTCTGCCTCTTTTTATGTGGCCCATGATTTAATAATTTTGTAAAATTTCTTAAAATAAGTTCTAGGTTTTCAAATAGATTTACAAAAAAGTTATAAAAACAGTATAGAATTCTCATGTACTCCATACCCAGCTTCCCTAGTCATTACCACTTACATTAGTATGGTACATTTGTCACCACAAATGACCCAATATTGACACATTATTTATTATTTATTTACTTATATATTTGCCAGAGAGGAACAAAGACAGAGAGAAAGTGAGAAATCATCCCCAAAGGAGGATGGCCACACTGAAATCCCTTCTTCTCTGTTCACCTCTTGGGATTTTGGGCATGCAGATGTATGTGCCTGGAGTGTTTTTCAAGCCATGAGTACAGGACAAACTATGGAATTCATGATGTGGCATCCAGCACCTTAACCACCATACCACCTGCTGGTCCTGGTGACAGTTATATTTAACTTAAGTCTGTACTGTATTCAGATTGTCTTAGATTTTCATTATGGTCTTTTTCTGTTCCGGGTCCTATCCACGTTGTCACATTAACATTTAGTCATCATGTCTTTGGGTTCCTCTTGATTGCAACAGTTTCTTAGACTATTTTGTTTATGATGACCTCGAAAGTTTTGAGGTGTATTGATAACTGCATAACCCTGAGGGACTGTAGAATGTCCCTTAATTGGAATTTGTCTGCTATGTTTATTATTAGACTAAACTGATGGGCTTAGAAGAGAAGACCACAGAGGCAAGTTATACACACTAGATTCCTAAGGCTGCCATAAGAAATGATCACACACTGGGTCATTTGAAACAACAAATTTATTCTTTCTCACCATTCTGGAGGCTGGAAGTTCACAATCAAGGTGCTGACTGTGTTGATTTCTTCTAAGGGCTGTGAGGAAAAGTCTGTTCCGTAACTCTCTAGCTTCTGGCGGTGGCCGGCCATCCTTGGCATTCCTTGGCTTGTGCATACATCACTCTTGTCTCTCCCTCCATCCTCATGGCCATCTTCTCTGTGTGTCCTTGTCAAAATTTCCCTCTTTTTATAAGACACCATAATTTTGGATGAAGTCCCCCTTAATAGTCTCATCTTAACTAAGTGTATCTGCAATGTCTATTTTTAAATAAGGTCACATTCACAGAGTTGGGTTTAGAATGTGAACATATCTGTTTTGTGGCTCAAACAGGGACCTGTAACAGTGATGATCTCATCACATCATCTGAAAGGTACAAGTTATCAACATGGCTTATAAGTGTTGACATTAACCGTCATCATTTGGCCAAGGTAATTTTTGTCAGGTTTCACTGTAGTTCTCCCAGCTTCTATACTGTTCATTTTGGAAGGAAATGTACAATCCGTACTTTGCTAGTGCAGTTATTCTGCCTGAAAGACAGAGTATCTACATAAGTTATGTAGGATTCTTCTGCCAGCATTCATTTATTCATATGTGCATGTATTCTTGGATATCTACTTTATACTTGGAGTTAGAATCCTGTACTACTTTACTTATTTTGTTGTTTACATCGTTCCATTCAAAGCTCTTTCGGTTGATTTCTGTGTCCATTATTAGATTATTTTTGAGTATTTTTTTAGGTTTTCTCTAGCATGAGCTCGCAGGAGAAAGACAGAGAGGGATAGTGAGAAATCACCCTCCCCCCAAGGGGGGATGGCCATGCCATAATCCCTTCTCCTCCACTATCCTCCATTCTCCTCTCGGATTTTTTTTTTTTTTTTTTTTTTTTGGCACACATGCACATACATTTAGTGTGATACTCAAATAACTGGGCCTGGGACTCAAACTACAGGGTCAGCCAAGTGGGATCCAGCACCTTAACCACCACGCCACCTGCTGGCCCATGTACTTCCTCTCTTTTAACCTACTATGATTTTAGAATTTCTAGGTTTTTTAAAAACTTTTGTTTTGTTTTGTTTTTGTAATTTTGCTAGAGGATATGTATACTCACCAAGGAGAGAGATAAAGTGGAAAGCAATCCCCATGTAGGACGGTCATGCCACAATCCCTTTTTCTCCCTCCTTTTAGGATTTTGGGCATACACACACAGATGTCCAGTGTGTTTTCGAAGCTGCTGGGTCCAGAATTTGAAGTATACAGAGGGCCATGTGGGATCCAGCCACCTTAATCACCATGCGACAAGCCAGTCCAGAACTTCCAGTTCTTGTAACAGTGCTATAATGACTCATTAAATATATGAAGACATAGCTGATATGACTACATATTTGGAGGAATGTGATTCCTGCCTTTCCTGAAATACCGTAGCATTAAGCCAGGCCTTCCTTGTGATTTTTAGCACTTTTAAATTTGCAAAAGATTATTAATGAATAGTCTTATCTCCCTTGCTAGACTACAGACAACATGAGGACAAATTATGTTTTCAACATTTTTCTATCCTTGACTGCATGTGCAAGAGTATATTTACCTTGGAGTTGAGTAAATGTTAATTTAAAAAAAAAAATTGACATTCTTGGGACCAGCAGTTGGCGTAATGGCTATGTTGCTGGACTCCCATGTAGTTGACCATGGTTCGAGTCCCAGACCAGATGGCTTAAACTCACACCAGGCCCATGTGCATGCGTGCCCAAGATCCTGAGGGGGGGGAAGGGATTCCGGGTTGGCTTTTTCCCCCCGGGGGGGGGGGGTGATTTCTCGCTTTCTGTCTCTCTCCGTCTTTCTGGTGAGCACACGGGCCCTATAGCAAAAACCTCTCCAAAAAAAAGAAATTGACATTCTCATAGCTTTTTAAAGATATAAACTGAAAAATCTCTTTAATCTTAAAAGTAAGACGCATATTTGGTAGAATGTCTCCAGTTCACCTAAGTTCAATCAGATATAGACAGATTGAATACTAATTGAGGAGATTAATCACAAGCAATATAAATCCCAACACTGAAAAACCACTGTGTTTATCTGAGGAGTGATTGATGAATATCAATTTTTCCTCTTACTTATATTTCTTTGACATTGTGTGTCTATGTGTGTATATACAGTATACTTATTTATTTATTTTTTCTGAACTAGAGTCTGGGCGCATATGTATTTTTAAAGAGGTTTTTGCTTCAGGGTGCATGTGCTCACTAGGGAATGAGAGAGAGAGACAGTGAGAGGGAAAGTGAGAAATCACCCCCTAGAGAGGTTGGCCATGCCCCAGTACCTTCTCGTCCATTCTCCTCCTGGGGTCTTAGGCACACACGCACATGCATCCGGTCTAAGTGTCAAGCCACCAGGTCTGGGACTCCAACTGCGATTAGCCATGTAGGAGTCCAGTGATGTAACTGCTATGCCATCTGGTGGACCCTCGGTGTGTTTTTTTAAACAAATCACTTTATGGTTCCCAAACTATTTCCATGTTACTTAGTGTACAAATAACATCACATTATGTAGATAGTAATATCACATTAAATTATCATCCATTTATTCTTTATCCAGCATAGATAAAATCAGGTGGTCCAAAATTGCAAGGAAGATTGTACATTTTGGAAGATAATACATTTGCACACTTCTAAAAATCTGAAAAATTACCAAAGTTTTATATGTGAGGAATTATTGCAATCCACTTGTTAATCCATATAATCATTTTCAATACTTACTGACTGCCATTCTATCTTAACATGCTTAATTTGTGGAGGGGTTTTTAAATTTGATTCCCAATTGTATTCTGGTGATAACAGCTTAGCAGGTTTATGGACAAAAAAATATTTGTTTAGGTGACTTTCAAAATTGCTATTAATATCTTTTGAAGTATCATGTGTAAATCCTTTTTCATATTCTACTAAGAGGGCTAAGATCTCTTGAGGTGTGCCACCAAATATTGTACTATGATAGTAGAAATCGCCCTGTCCGGAGGGAATGGCAGCTGCTGCTAGAGATCTTTTTTCATAAGGGAGATCTTCAGTATTTTTAAAATACCACCATCCATGGAGTTGAGCTACAGACCTGCCCAACGTCTCTACTCCAAAGTCATCCTTGAAGATTTGGTTTATATCCATCTTGAAGAGAAATTCAACTTCATACTGGATAAAATCTATGATGTTCGTTTCTAGATGCTTCATGTACCAGAGACTGTAGTCTTCCAATGCAGTATTTGCTGGTATAAAAAATAGTTTCATTGTTCGAAGAAGACCTAGCTCAAGGTGAGGAACCTTGTTTAAATTATCTGTCAAGATGTAAAAGATAACATTGTAGCCAGTCATAAAGTGCTTATTTGCAGATTGTATGAATTCTTTCAGGTACTGACGGATAATCCTGTGAAACATGAAAAAAATTATTTTGCTAAAATCATTAGAACACTTGCCATTTAAAATGCTGTCTTACATATGTTAATAATGTTGAAGAATGTGAGTAGAGAAACTGGACTATAGCTTTTTGGTTAGTGAAAAATAATGTGGTAAGTTTGGAGACTTGAGAAGGGCCATGAAGTTTGTTGTAAAGAAAACGAAACAGGGTTGGACCCATAGCCTAGTGGTTAAGGGAAGCTGTATCCTACATGGCTGACGGCAGTTTGAATCCTGGGTCCTTTGGTTTGAGTTCTGGCAGGACGGAGAATTGGAGAAGAGGTTGAAACATGACTATGGCCCATTGTGAGGTGCTTTCCTCTCTCCACCACTCCCTCCGGTGAGCACAAATGCCCTATGACAATTAAAAAAAGAAGAAAGAAAGTAAGTAAGTAAGAGAAAAGGTGGAAGAAAGGGAATGATAGCTAAATGAGTATTAAAAGGTTCTCAGAGCCAGCAGGTGGCATGGAGGTCAAGGCAGCCGGCACCCACATGACCAACTGAGTGGTTTGAGTCCTGGACCTGGTGGATTGAAAAACATGCTGGACATGTTTGCGTGCATGCCCAAAATCCCGGAAGAGAAGGGATTGCAACATGGCCACCCCCTGGGGGACGATGTTCACTTTCTCTGTGTATTTCTCTCTCTCTCTAGTGAGTGCATGTGCCCTATACAAAAACTAAAAAAAAAAAAAAAAAAAAAAAAAAAAAAACTGTTGATGTAGGGCATTTTGCCTATACAAAAACAAAAAAAAAAAAAAAAAAAAAAAAAAAAAAATCCAAGTAGTGTTAAGGACTCAACGAAGACTGGAGGACAAAGCTGCTATGAATAGTTATACAGGACAGCCGGAAATCATTATTATGCTTAATTAGTAGTAGTTCTTTGGATGTAGACTGTGCATTGATGCTTGTCTATATTTTTCTAAGATAAAAAACAGATGAATATTAATAGCATTTACCCTGCTGGGGCAATTACAGCCAAGCCTATGGTAATGTTCAGCCTCTTGTAGTATTTTTCCAGAACCTCTCTATTGTAAGTTCCTTCCCATATGATTGGAGCATGCCAGTTAGTTGTTGTTATAACATCAGAACGGTTCCTAAATGAATCAAACAGACATTGTCACTTTATTAAGGCAGCAGAAATTAGGGACCAGTAGTTAGTGTAATGGCTATGTTGCTGGACTCCCATGTAGTCGACTGCAGTTCATGTCCCGGACCGGGTAGCTTAAAACTCACGCCGGGCATGTGTTCGTGCATACCCAAGATCCCGAGAGGAGAAGGGATTGCGGCGGCATGGCCATCCCCCCTGGGGGATGATTTCTCGCTTTCTCTCTCTCTATGATAACAGCTAATGACTATAGAGTACTTATTACATGATAGGAATGCATTTAAGTGCTCACATAACTTACAAATCCTTGCACTGTCCATGAAGGTAAATACTGTTATGATCCTTATTTTTCATAAGAGAAAACTTGGATACTGATGGGTTACTAAATAACTTTGTATCACACAGCTGATTAACGGCAGTCAGGATTTAAGATCCAGCCACTCTGGCTCAGAGCCTGGGCTTTAGTCATCACCCCATCCTGCCTTTGGAGCCTAGGCGTTACTTTCTTTGAGCTCTAACTGCAGCTTTAACATAGCCCAATGTCTAAACATTTCTATGTGATTATTGCCTATAGCTGACAGTACTGCTGTCTCTATATGTGTTCTTAATTTTTTTCCTCTTCTTTATTCTTTTTCTCTCTCCTCCTGGAAGAGAAGGAATTGCAGTATACCCATCTCCCTAAGGGGTGATTTCTCACTTTACATTTAAGTCTTATACACATTAAATAGATTTTATTTTAGTAATTAAGTAAATAAAATTTATTAATTAAATTTATTAAAAGTAAATAAATCCACTAGAAACTTATTTTTATTTATGATATAAGATGGTGCCCACCTTTTTTTCCTGCTTGGACTGCCAGGCATGCCAGCATAAGTGATTGAATAATCTACCCTGTTCTCACTGATCTTTAAAATACTGCCGTTATCTCAGTCATATATATTATGATCCAATACTGGACTCATTATTGATCTAATCTATTCCTTGTTTATGTGACTACTGCATTGTTACATTGGGTCATCAGGAAAGTCATGACACATTTTTGCATAGAAAAACATAGAAGAATATGTCGTGACTTTCCCAATGACCTAATAGTGGGTTCTGATATTTGTTAAGGCAAAATCCTCTTAACTTTATTTTTTAATAATTACTTATTTAATTTTATTTGTCATCAACATTTAAAAAAAAATTTGATACAGGCACTCAACAGAGAGAGAGAGGGAAAATGAGAAAGCAAGTCAGGTCTGTGACTCAAACTGTGATCGGCCATGTGGGAGTCTAGCATCCCAACCACCATGCCATCTGCTGGCTCTTTAACTTTCTTGTTTGCCCACCTGCCTTGGATGTTCTGAGACATTTATTCTTTCATTTTATTTGAATCTTACCTTTTTTTTTTTTTGCTTATTAATAAAAGCCAACAATATTTTGCCTGCTATCTTACATATTGAAGAAGTCATTTCATTTCTTCTCTAAATATATATCTTAAACAAAAAGCCAATGTGTTGTTTAATAATAAAACACAAACTTTGCAGTTAAAGAACACTATTAGAGCTAGCAGATAGTGAAGTGGTTACATTGCTTGACTCTCTAGTGGCTGACCACTGTTCAAGTCCCAGACCTGGTGGCTTGAAACTCATGCCAGGCACATGTGCATGTTTGCCCAAGATCCCAGGAGGAAAATGAAGGAGAGTGAAGGAGAAGGGATTGTGGAGGAGAATGGAGGAGAAGAGATCATTCCCCTGGGGGGTAATTTCTCTCTATCTCTCTGTCTCTCCTGAGAGTGCATGTGCCCTATAGCAAAAAAATCTCTCTCTCTCAAAAAAAAGAGGAATATTTATAGCAGTACTAATTATAATAGCAACACTAGCAGTTATTAAGGGGCCCATTAATAGGACTGAGAATATGGGCTAGCAGGTGGCATGGTGGTTAACACACTGGATCCCACATGGTCAACTTTGCGATGTGAGTCCTGGATCTGTTGTCTTAAAAATATGCTGGACATGTGTGCAAACACATCTCAAAATCCTGAAAGGAGAATGGAAGAGAAGGGATTGTGGCATGACCATCTCCTCTGTGAGATGATTTCTTACTTGATTTCTCTCTGTGTATCTCTTTGACTCTTTCTGGTGAGTATATTCACTCTAGGGCAAAAATTTTTTTAAAAAAAGAAAAGAGAAAAAGAAAAAAGATGGAATAAGTAAGCTGTGGTGTGTTTCCGCAGTCAATTTTATTTTATTTTATTTTGGAGAGGCATTTGCCTTAGGGCATGTGCACTCATGGTGGGAAGAGAAAGAGAGAGAGAGAGAGAGAGAGGGAAAGTAAGAAATCACCCCTCAGGGGGATGGCTACACCCCAATCCCTTTTCCTCCGTTTCCTTCCAGGATCTTGGGCACGCACGCACACATGCCTGGTGTGATTTTTTAAGCCACTCGGTCTGGGACTCAAACCTCAGTTAGCCATGTGGGAGTCCAGTGAGGTAACAGCTATGCCATCTGCTGGTCCCCACAGTCAATTCTTATGCAGCCATTAAAATGAATTACGATGGTATACAATTCTAGATAAATCTTAGCAATCCAATTAAGGGAGAAAAGTAAGTTCCTGAAGATTACATGCAGCATAAAATCCTCTTGATAAAAGTATAAACAAGTAAAATTTTAAAATAAGCTTTCCACTCAGAATCCATATGGAAGATATAAATTTGTGTTAAAAAAAATAAAAAAAGGCAAGGAAATGATGAACCAGGATTCAGGATACTGGCTGTTTCAGGGGGTAAAGTTAGGACAGAGTGAGAGAACTGGAAAGGATGCAAGGCTAGATGTTGAGGCTATTGAAAGTTTTAATTTTTGTTTCATTCAAAATAAATAAGCAAAGGGGTTAGATGATGGCATAGTGGTAAAACACTACTGCTCTGTGAACAAACCCACAAGGTAAGGCTGCTGGTTTGCGTCTGGAGACCTCCCTGAGTATGCTAGGTGTGCATGTGCCCATGACCCAGCTTGCTGAAGCTGGGAGTAAGTCACGGTGTAAAGACCCTGTCAGAGGTACTGTCTCTCTGACTCTTGGTCTCTCCCTGTCTCTTCCATTCATGGAATAAATAAAATTTTTAAAGATTAATTTGTTTAATTCCATTTATTATTGTTATTGGTATGTTTTAATTTGAGCAGAGAGAGACAGAGAGAAAGAAAGGGAAAGCAAGAAAGCAAGCCGTCAGGTCTGGGACTTGAACTGCAGTCAGCCATGTGAGAATCCAGCAACTTAACCACCATACTACCTATTGGCCCCCATAAATAAATTAAAAAAAAAAAAAACAGCAAGAAGGATCAACGGTTGGCATAATGGCTATGTTGCTGGGCTCCCATGTAGTCAACCATGGTTTGAGTCCTGGACCCGGTGGCTTAAACTCATGCCAGGTGCATGTGCATGCATGCCCTAGATCCTGAGAGGAGAATGTAGTAGAAGGGATTACAGCGTGGCCATCCCCCCGGAGGGTGATTTCTCCTTTTCTGTCTCTCTGTCTCTGTCTTTCTGGTAAGCGCACGTGCCCTATAGCAAAAACCTCCCCCCACCCCCACAAAAAAAGCCAGCAAGAAAGCAAGCAAACAAATAATGCGTGAGTTTGCATGAACCAATGATGATATGCATCACAAGCCAGAATTATTATTTAATTAATTCTGTGGTCCATTAAAAAGTAGATGTATAAAAAACTCACAGAAGATAAAATCTAAATGAATAGCAAACAGGTAAAAAGATGCTCACGGGGGGGCCAGTAAGTGGTGTACTGGTTAAGGCTCTAGACTCTGATTCAGTCCCAGACCCGGCAGTTTGAAACTCATGCTGGACGCATATGCGTGTGTGTGTGTGTGTGTGTGTGTGTGTGTGTGTGTATCCAAAATTCCAAGAGGAAAATGGAGGAGAAGGGATTGCAGTGTGGCCATCTAGCCTGGGGGGTGATAGCTCACTTTCTGTCTTTCCGTCTCTCACACATGTACATGCATCCTATAGCAAAAATTTCTCTAAGGGGACCAGCAGATAGCATAATGGTTACATCACTGTCCCACATGGTCTACCATGGTTCGAGTCCCGGGCCCAGCAGCTTGAAACACAGCAGGTGTGTGTGTGCCCAAAATCCCAAGAGGAGAATGGAGGAGAAGGGATTGCAGTGTGGCCATGTCCTTGGGGGGAGTGATTTCTCACCTTCTGTCTCTCTGTCTCTCCAGCAAGTGCATGCACCCTATAGCAAAAATCTTGCTTAAAAACAATGCTCACAGGCCAACAAGTAGCCTGGTGGTCACACATAAGCTGGATCCCAAGTTGCTGGCTGTGCAATTTGAATTCCAGACCCATTAGTTTGAAAGACACACCAGTCACATGTGCATGTGTGCCCCAAATTCCAAAAGCAGGAGAGATGGCAGAGAAGGAGTGGTGTGACCATGCTCATGGGGGCTTTCTTTCTTTCACGCTCTCTCTGTCTCTGTCAGATAAATGCACATGCCTCCTGACAAATTAAGGAAAAGAAACTGATGTTCAAGCTCAACAATTAGAGAAATGAAAATTGAATTGAATTTTGACTTTTTTTTTTTTTTTTTTTTTTTAGTTTTTTGTTATCGGGTGAAGTATGCTTGCCAGAGAGAGAAAGAAAGAAACAGAGAGGGAAAGTGAGAAATCACTTCCTGGGAGGATGGCCACATCACAATCCCATGTCCTTAATCCTCAATGCATCCAACGTGATTTTCAAGCCTCTGGATCTGAGATTCGGACTGCTTAGTTGTCCATGTGATAGGCCAGTGTCTCAACCCTCACACCACCTGCTGGCCCCGACTTGAAATATTTTAACAACAGTTCGGCCAATAATAAAATATTTGATATCACTATGTTAATATCAAGTAAATAAATAAATAAATAAATATTTCTAACATTTGTTGACTGTAGATTAGAAAATAAATGGAACCTGAACCAAACTTTATATGTTTTAAATTGATGACTGCACCCTTGGAATTTATTCTACAGATAAATTCACACAAGATTGTACAAAGATATAGTGTAAGGATATTAATTGAAATATTACTTATAGTAGCACCCAACTTGTAAACAATACAAAACCAGGCACCAGTATATGGTGTAATGGTTATGTTGAAGATTCCCATATAGTCTACCATGATTTAAGCCCAGGACTTGGCAGCTTAAAATTCACAATGGGTGCATATGCGTACATGCCCAAAATCCAAAAGGAGAGTGGAGGAGAAGGGATTGTGGCATGGCCATCCTCCTTGGGGGTGACTTCTTGCTTTCTGTCTCTGTCATTCTCTGTCTCTCTGGCAAGTGTACATGCCCTAATAGCAAAAATCTCTAAAACAATAATGGCTAGATAAATCAATATACAATCACACAATATACAATATACAATGGAATATCGGATAATTATTAAAAAGGATAAGGTTCTCTCCTGAGTTTGTTAAACTTAAAGTCAAGAGGAATGTTTCATGGCATTTCATGCTGCTCTAAAGACATTTTTAGTTCCCCTAATGATACCAGGAGTGTTAAACCAGACAGACTGTGACAGCTTTCTCATTACAACACTTAATTCCATGAATCTTGATGAATAGACACTAAGTTTATATATAAAAGCCTTCAAAGTAAAACAAAGTCCTGAAAAACTCCCAGGATAGCTACAATTTAAGGGGGGGAAAAACCCTCTTCTAACTGATTTCTCTTATTCTTATTCTTATTCTGTAAGCAGAAGAAGTTTCTGTTCTTACGCAGAGTTAAACCAGGCTGAGAGCTGAGGTTCTTCTACTTGATCATTCCTAGGTACAAAGACAAAAACAAAATCAGGTTAAGAGTAATCCATTCACTCGACACGTTATTTGGTGAACCCCTATGATATGCCAGGCACAATTTTGTGCTGGTTCTACAGCTATGAAAGTTTAGGTCTCACGCTCCCCTCAGGAAGTTCATAAACTAGCAGGAAAGACAATATTGGATAGGCAATTGTGGTATAGTGTTGTTAAGTACCAAGAGAACACAGCAGAGCTCTGTGGGAGCATATAAACGGCACACCCAACATAATGTGGGGCAAAGGGAAACCACTAGGGGAGGAAATATGTGAACTGGGTCTGGAAAGGTAAGGGCTAGTCCAGGAAAGAATAACAATGGCATGGCCCAGGCAGGAGAGCAAGGAGGAATATGGTTTTGGGCAGTGAGGGTGGAGGTGGAATATATATATATATATATATATACACACACACACACACATACATACATACATACACACACATATACATATACATATATATATTTTTTGAAATGTTTTCGCTATTGGGTGCGTGTGCTCGCCAGACAGAGAGAGACATAGAGACAGAAAACAAGAAATCACCCCCCAGAGGGGATGGTCACACCACAATCCTTCTCTTCCTTTCTCCTCTCGGGAGTTTGGGCACGCATGCACATGTGTCTGGTGTGAGTTTTAAGCCACCGGGTTTGGGACGCAAACCGCGGTCGACTACGTGGGAGTCCAGTGACATAGCCATTACGCTAACTGCTGGTTCCTGATATACATATATTTTAAGAGAGATTTTTGTGATGGGGTGTGTGTACTCACCAGAGAGACAGAGACAGAAAGCAAGAAATCACCCCCCAGAGGGGATGGCCATGCCACAATCTTTCTCTTCCTTTCTCCTCTTGGGAGTTTGGGCACGCATGCACATGTGTCTGATGTGAGTTTTAAGCCACCGGGTCTGGGACTTGAACCGTGGTCAACAACGTGGGAGTCCAGCGATGTAACCATTACACCATCTGCTGTCCTCAGGGAATATGTTATAAAAATGAGCAGATCAAGTAGAAAAATGTATACCAGACAGAAACACAGATTTAATTTATTTGGCAGTTACTGGTAGCTCACTATGTGATAGGTTCTGTGTTACGTATTGAGATGGGTTTGGTGTAGGGGGTCTAGATGTTTGTCTTTAATTTTCATTGAAAAATAGAATCCACCTAAGGCTTAGTCATACTTTTTCTTTCTTTCTTTCTTTCTTTCTTTCTTAATTTGCTAGAGGGCATGTGTGCTCCCTGGAGAAAAAGTAGAGAGAAAGGGAGTCAGTGGGACAGCACCCGCCACGAGGGTGGCTACCCCACAATCTCTTCTTCATTTTTCCTGTTGGGATTGTGGTCATGCACACACACATGCCAGAGTGTTTCTCAAGCCACCAGGTGCAGGACCCAAATTGGTCAGTCTGACATGTGTGATCTAGCCACCTTCACCACCACATCTACTGGCCCTGTGTACTTTTAAGTTAATCATTCAGTATCTCAATGTCATTTCCCAATTTTGATCATTACTATGATTACTGAGGAAAAATGGTTGAAAGGTCTATATGACCTCTCTTGGCACCTTTCTGTGAATGTACAATTATTTTGAAACAAAATGTAAAAAACCCCCAAAACCCAAACTTAAAGAGTGTATCCCTTATGACATTTTCAGATGTGTCTTCAGTCAAATATATTTCATTGTGAGATTCCTGAGGACTGTTACTCTTTCAAAATCCAAATCGTCCATGCCTAAGCTCATTAAAAATGTATGGTGATGGTCCAGCAGGTAGCACAGTGGTTAAGGTGCTGAACTTCCACATAACCACCCACGGTTCAAATCCTAGAAGTGGCACCTTGAAAATCACACTGGGCACATGTGTTATGTGTCCAAAATGCCAGGAAGAGAATGGATTGTGATGTGGCCATTCCCCCACAGTGTGTGGGGAGTGATTTTTCATTTTTCTTCTCTCTGTCTCTTCAGGAAGTTCTTTTTAGGGTTAGTTACACTAATTTGGAGGACCTATACAATCATAGAAACATAGTTGACCAAAGGGGGCTATCACAATGTAAAGAAAAATGTTATTCTAGGACCAGCAAATGGCATAATGGTTACATCACTAGACTCCCACATAGTCAACTGCAGTTTGAGTCCTGGATCTAGTGGCTTAAAATTTAAACTGGGCACATGTGAGGACATGCCCCAAATTCCAGGAGAATGGAGGAGAAGGGATTATGGCATGGCCATCCCCCTGGGGGGGTAATTTCTTGCTTTTTGTCTCTCTGTCTCTGCCTCTCTAGCGAGCACATGTGCCCAATAGCAAAAATCTTTCTCTAAAAAAGAAACAAACAAAAAAAGTTACCCTGGACAGATATCCCATCCAGTGTAAGCAGGTAAATGTGCTCAGAGAGCAGAATTTGGAGCTGCACGCAGAGCTCAGCACGCACATGCACAGTTATCTCCGAACTGGCACCCAAGACACTCACAGTGGCTGTCTCTGGGGAGTTCAGTTCTGTTCTTTCTGCCTGCCCTCGCCATTGGAATCTATTTGACAGCAACCAGTTTGCCCTCAATAGTTCGCAGAATATTGATAGGTCAGATTCTTACCAGCAGCCATACATCTTCTGTAGGTGAAGCGTTAGTCTTTAGATAAATGAAGAAAAGTAATTTAGTGTTAAGTTGAACAAATGTCTATTACTATTGGAATAATTTTTTAAATCTATAAGTCAAATTAATTCATATTTTTTCAGCCATGTAATTACTCAGCACTTACTGTATGCCAGGTGTAATGCTACGCTGTTGGAATACATGACAATCTAGGCCTGCCGTTAATCTGTGGTCTATCATTTCCTTTTTGATAAGAAAGCCCTTCAAAAAGATGATACTAATATATTACAACTGGCCGTGAATTCTTTGCATTAAGATACAATGCCCCTGATGGGCAAATAACACAAAACACATGATACCAAAACAACAGGGATAATTTAATTTAATTTATTATTATTATATTTTACTGCCAGAGGGCATATGTACTGACCAGAGACAAAAAGAGAAAGAGTAAGAGAGAAGGAAAAGCACTCTTCAATGGGTTGTGGTCATGTCACAATCCCTTCTCTTCCATTTTTCCATTCCATTGGAATTTTGGGCACACATGAATACGTGCCCATTTTTTCAAGCCCTCAGGGGCAGGACTCCACTTTCAATGTGGAATCCAGCTCTCCATAGGGGTTAATTTTTAAAGACATTAGCTCTCACAATATAGTTACTTTTCTTTCTTTTTTTTTTTCCTGGAGAGGTTTTTGGTATAGGGCGTGTCCGCTCGCCAGAAAGACACAGACAGAAAGTGAGAAATCACCCCCACCCCACCCCCCAACCCCCACAGTGAGGGATGGCTATGCCACAGTCCCTTATCCTTCATTTTCTTCTTGGGCTGCTGGGCACGCACGCATACACGCCCAGCGTGAGTTTAATCAACCAAGTCCAGCACTCAAACCACAGTTGACTGACTACATGGGAGCCCAGCGACATAGCCATTAGGTCAACTGCTGGTCCCTATAGTTACTTTTCAAATAGCATTTAGCAACTTTGCATTCCTTATAAAGAAGACCATACTAGAAGGGTATGGAGGAGATAGATACTTTGAATTTTTCTATGTGAGAGAATTTTAGCAGGTTAACAATTTCACCCCAGTATAGCCCTACTTCTGGAGGAGGCTACTTTTAGTCTTGTTTATATTTGATGATACTTTGATTCAATTTTATCTAAAAATGACAGCCCCAAACTATCCTCTTATCTTGCCTTTTTTCTTGTTTCATAGCATTATTATATAACATAAAACCCCTGACATGATATATTTCTTTGTGAATTATCTGTAATCACTCTCTAGAAGGTGAAGCTCCATAAAAGCAAGGAATTGGTATCATTGTTGCTTTCCCAGCACCTACAACAGGACCTGCACCAAGAAGGTGGTTAACAAATGTTTATTGAATGTTAGAAAAAAATGAAAGAATTCATATATTTGTTTCCCCAAAGAATAGGTAATTTCTGACTAATTTAGAGAGTGTTACTAACATCTTTCAATGAAGCTCATTGTTTTAGACAAACTCTGCCAATTAATTAAAACAACATTAATTAAACAACTTTTTTTTACCTGAAATAATACTTGATCAATATCAGTGATAAAGCACATAAGATCAGTAACATCATTTTTCTTTGAGAAGTCATTCTGTCCTAGAAAAGGAGAAGAAAAAAGGTTTTTATTTGTTTAGGTTTTTGCCATAGCATGTGTGTGCTTGCCAGAGAAAGACAGAGAGACAGAGAGGAAAAGTGAGAAATCACCTCTCCGAGGGATGGTCATGCTGCAGTCATGTCTCTTTCATTCTTCTCCTGGGATTTTGGGCATGCACACACGTGCACCCAGAGTGATTTTTCAAACCATCAGGTCGAGGACTCAAACTGTGGTTTGTTTTTGTTTTTGTCTTTGTTTTTATTTTGAGAGGTTTTTGCTATAGGGCACGTGTGCTCACCAGAAAGACAAAGAGAGACAGAGAGACAGAAAGCGAGAAATCACCCCCTAGGGAGGATGGCCACGCTGCAATCCCTTCTCCTCCATTCTCCTCTTGGGATCTTGGGCTCGCACGCACACGCACCCAGCGTGAGTTTAAGCCACTGGGTCCGGGCCGTGAACCACGGTCGAGTACATGGGAGTCCAGCGACCTAGCCATTATGCCAATTGCGGTCCCTCAAACTGTGGTTTGTGATGTAGGAGTCCAGTGCCCTAACTGCCATGCCACCTGCTGGCCCCCAAAAATTTAAAACAAATTTTTTTTGGAAAGTAAAAAACTACTTCTTGCCATTTTTTAACAAACTAATTTGTGGAAGTTTGACCAATCTAAGCATCTGGTTGTAAAATGCTCAGCCTGAGGAAGTAGGTATAGTTGGGTCTGAGAAACCACTGATTCTAAGTGCCTGAAAAATCTCCCTTAGGATGTTGACCAGTCCTTTCAGATGCGTGCAAATGTCTGTGATGTTGCTTTTGCATTCCTTTATCAACATCCATCCTGGTTACGAAAAGAAAAGTTCCGTAAAATTCTCCTCCTATTTCACTGGTTTGTTTGTAAAAATAAGATGAGGTAATTATAAAGATATCTTTATATTGGGGCTGGCAAATGGCATGGTGGTTAAAGGCACTGGACCTCCCACATGGCCGACCACGGTTCAAGTCTCGGACCTGGTGTCTTGCTTTCTCACTTCCTCTCTCTCTCTCTGTCTCTCTCTGATCAAACTGAAAAATAATAATGATAATAATAAATAAATAAAGTTAAATAAAATAATTATTTTTTTTTTAAGATATCTTTATATGGTGGGATCTATTTTGCTCCAAAGATGACTTTTATATACCTGTTTCTTCACAAAGATATTATAAGATCAGTAATTTATTCAAAGCAGTAAGATCAATGACCAAAAATTATATGAGCTCTCTCAAAGGTATGTTTTTGTATAACAGTGACTAAAAGTCCAAATTAAAGGCATTAGGCTCTAAAATGGAGTTTTTGTCTCCAGCCAATGCATCAAGCTTATATTGCAGATCTCAGATATCTGTTTATAAGCCTAAATTACATCATCCAAGATGGGTCTCATATTTGGGGTATGTATTGGAGTAAAGGAGAAGTCTCTGTTATTTAATTTTGCACATGTATTTAATAAGCAAGATGTTGGGGGCAGGAGATAGTGTGGTGATTAAGGCACTAGACTCCCACATGGCCAACCGTGGTTCGAGTCCTGGACCTGGCAGGTAGCTTTCTCACTCTTCCTCTCACACATTCTCTCTGTGTCTTGCTGTGGTCAAACTGAAGAAAAATAATAAAATTAAATAATTTTTAAAAATAAGCAAGATGTTTTAGATTTACAATTTCTAATACAGTAGCCATGAACTCTACGTGGGTAGTAAGCAAATGGAACACTGGTAGTCCAAACAGTGGAGTTTGAAGACTTAGTATGAAAAAATATAATTGAAAGTATTTATTAATTTTTTTATATTGACTATACCTATTGAAAGGATAGTGGGTTAAATGAAAAAATATTTTTAAAATTTTACTTATTAATATTAGTGGGTGGTTAGAAAAGTCATGAGCATTTTTGCATAGAAAAACATGTCATGACTTTCCTAATGACCCAATTTTTAAAAATTTGCTATAGATAGGACTAGCAGGTGGTGTAGTGGTTAAGGCGCTGGACTCCCATGCGGTTGACTGTGGTTCAGATCCCAGACCTGGTAGCTTAAAACTCACACTGAGAGTGTGTGTGTGTGCCCAAAATCCCAAGAGGAGAATGGAAGAGAAGGGATTGAGGCATGGCCATGCCCCCTGGGGGATGATTTCTCACTTTACCTCTCACTGTCTCTGTCTTTCTCTTTCTCCTTGGTGAGTGCGTGCGCTCTATAGTAGAAATCTCTCAAAAAATTTGCTACAGGGTACATGCATTTACGAGAGAGAGAGAGAGAGGGAGATAGAGCGAGCATGCAAGCCACTAGGTTTGGGGCTTGAACCACAGTTGGCTATTGTTGGAGTCTAGTGCCTCGACCACCATGCTACCTGCTGGTCCAAATAAAATATATTTTTAAGATGATTTTCATTCATTTCTTTTTACCTTTTGCAATTATAATGTGGCTTCTAGAGTATTTAGAGTGACAAATGTAACTTGCTAATGTCATTTCTGTTGGGAAGCTCCTGCATAGATAATATCACACTGGGCAGGTTTCAGTTTAGAACGCTACTGTCTCAGGAATATGAATTGACCACTCTTAAATTCAAGATCAGTGAAATAGCACACAAATGAGATAAGACTGTAGTCCCTCTAGCTAGATTTTTTTTTGAAATGTGCCCTTAATAACATTCTTAAAAGCCAGTGATACTTTGATATGTCACCTGTTATTCTGTTTAATATCCTTTTTTTTTTTTTTTTTTTTTTTGAAAAAGAGTTTTTTTCTTTGGGGCACAGGCCATTTTTACTCTAGGGCACAGGCACTCACCAGAGAGACAGAGAGATAGAAAGTGAGAAATCACCCCTCCAGGGGACATGGCCTTGCCACAATCCCTTCTCCTCTCAGGATTTTGGACACACATGTACACATGCCTGGCATGAGTTTCAAGCCGTCGGGTCTGGAACTCAAAGCACAGTCAGCCACATGGGAGTCCAGAGATAAAACTATAACACCACCTGCTGGCCCCATGATATACATTCGTTTTTTAAAAGATAGGTTCTCACCTTGTCACTACCCTCCTTCCTCTGCCTCCTAGCTTGCTGGGATTTCAGGCACATGCCACTGCACTGGGCCTTTAGATTGGACTGAGAAGTGAACCCTTCTGTGTGGTCCCAACTTGTGGAGCACAGCTTCTTGGCATAGCTCACCCCCACGGCTGGGCCATCTGTACATTGTGCTTTCAGGGCCAATATATGGAGATGATCCCTCCTATGATTTTGCTATGACCATCCAATGTTTTATCTTCTTCCTTTTTTTTTTTTTTCTTGCAGAGATTTTTGCTATAGGGTGCATGTGCTCACCAGAAAGACAGAGACAGACAGAAAGCGAGAAATCACCCCTCAGGGAGGATGGCCACGCCGCAATCCCCTCTTCTCCATTCTCCTCTTGGGATCTTGGGCACACACGCACACGTGCCCGGCGTGAATTTAAGCCACCGGGTCTGGCGCTTGAACCGCGGTCGACTACATGGGAGTCCAGCAACATAGCCATTACGTTAACTGCTGGTCCCACCATCTAAATTTCATGTAGTCTTTTTCTAAGTCATTTTACCTTTAGCTTTGGTGATGTAAAGAGAAATGCTAGGGCAGACATTTTCCAAACATCGTATTTTGGGATCTTCGCAAAAAAATTTAAAAATCAAATCAGATTTTGTATATTAATTACTCTCCTGCTGTTTGAGTCTTCTCTTAGTGGTGATGTCACCTGACACCTTTGATGATGAAAGCATTAGGAAGTCACAGTCATAATGGTACCTTTGGTAACAAGTTCTTCTTGCTGCTACCAAACAATAATACTTTGTCCCATTTGAAAAACTAAATGGTATTTAAGTGTTCTGCTGCCAGTTTCCTTTGTCGTACTTCCTTGCTTTTGTTGATGGCTGATTTTTACTCATAGAAGTCATAGAAGTATATTTCAAGTGCTGTGTTCTTCTTGGATATGTATATGACAGACAGAGAAAAGGCGTGACACCCTTACCTTTTCATTCTCTATTTTCCTTTTTTTTGTTTTTTTTTTTTTTTTCTCCATAGGGTGTGTGTACTTGCCATAGACAGAGACAGACAGGGAGCAGGAAAGTGAGAATCATTCTCCCGAGGGGATGCCCTAATCCCTTCTCCTCTACTTTCCTCTTGGGATTTTAGGCACACATGCACATGCACCTAGCATGATTTTCAAGCCACTGGGTCCAGGACTTGAACTGCAGTCAGACATGTGGGAATCTACCGCCTTAACCACCACGCCATCTGCTTGCTGGTCCCTTCATTCTCTTTTAAGACATTGTCCAATTATCCTATGAATAGCTAATCCCTTTCTATTCTTAGGATGTTTATAAAGTTCTTTTCTGTAATCAGAACTTTTCACTTTACAAAATCTGTCAGGTGCACAGAAGCACAAAGAAGTGGGCCAGATGCTGGCACAGCAGTGAAGCGTCATGGACAGCTGCTCTGCTCCTGGGCTGGGTGCTGGGGATACTTCTGCTCCTGACTGGCTCACCAGTCTGTGAAGCCGACTGACATGAGAAGGTTCCAGGGTCATTTCTGGGGATTTTCCTAAATTCTTTGGGCAGGACCGTGCCCATGATCTGGGATGGCTGAGGCTTAGGGTGGACTGTGGTGTCAAGACTCTGTTGAGGGTGCTGTCTCTCTCTCTCTCTCAGTCTCTCTTGCTCATGGAAGAAATAAACTTTTAAAAAAATGAATAAAAACTAAAAGTACAATGAAGAAAATGATGATCAATTGTAATCAAATTATTCTGAGATAATCACTCTTAATTTGAGATTATAACAACCTTAATTTTGCCCTTCCCCTTTAAAAATAAATTCATGTTTCTTATTGAAAAGATATATGCTCATATCACACACACATACAAAATTTAAAAATTCTAATGGGAAAAATTTCTACAGAATGCACATTAAATCCTTTTCTACCCCAGTACCTGGTTCTCTTTATTACCCATCCTCAATAGTAGCAACTGTTAGCAGTTTTGAGAGTTTATTCTATAACTATGCTGCATGTATATAGAGGAGAACTTCAAAAACTATGTGGAAAAATAAAATGAAAATAATTGGTTTATTGTGGCACAAACATTTTTGAAATCCCTGTATAGTTTTTTTCATGAAACAGGTCTATGATTTTTTGAGGACCCTTTACATATTTTTAAGTATATAGTTTCCCTTTCGTACAGTGGCAGCATGCTAAACATATTCAGTAGTTTCAATTATTCTTTTTATTCTGGTGGACTACATTTTATTAAATTAATATATCATAATTTATTTATCCAGTGTTCTATTGCTAGACATTTTGCTTGTTTACTGTAATAAGGAATTCTACCGTGGAATAATCAAATATGCTTTATGAGCACATATTGAGCAATGTTGCAGGATAAATTCCTAGAAACAAAATTCCTGGGTCAAAGTTTTTGTGCATTTAAAGTTTAATAAAGGGGCCAGCAGGTGTCATGGTGGTTAAGACATGGACTCCTACATAGCCAATGGCAGTTTGAGTCTCAGATCTGGTGTCTTAAGAATGGTGCCTGGAGGGACCAGCAGTTGGCGTAATGGCTATGTCGCTGGACTCCCACATAGTCGATTGTGGTTCGAGACCCTGACCCGGTGGCTTAAACTCACGCTGGGCGCGTGTGCATGCGTACCCAAGATCCCGAGAGGAGAATGGAGAAGAAGGGATTGTGGTGTGGCCATCTCCCCTGGGGGGGGATTTCTCGCTTTCTATCTCTCTGTCTCTCTCTGTCTGTCTGGTGAGTGCACATGCCCTATAGCAAAAATGTCTAAAAAAAAAAAAAAAAAGAAAAGGAAAGAATGGTGCCTGGATACCGCTGAGTGCCCTCTTTGCTACTAGGAAATAGTTTTGTTGTATTTCTGTTTACAGTAAAAAATAATTGAAAATTATGAGCTGTACAGAGAGTCCTCACAGATAACAGGTTCATGAGTAATCCTATCATAGTTATGATTTTTCTTGGCCTGAAAAACAATCTGGTTAGTTAAATGCTAGATGGATTGTTGTTAAAATGAATATAGCAGTGGATAGCCTTTCAAGGAGATATTGTTGTACACAATTATGAAATGATTTCTTTCTGCACCCAGTGTTTGAGTATGTGGGCATTGATCTTTAAGTATGTCCTTATCCTCAAACATTTAGAATGATAACAGTTACTATTTTACTGAGAGCTTATCCTGTGCCAGACGGTACACACAGTTTTGTTTAATTCTCCCAGCAACCATTTTGAAGTAATATTATCCATGCCCATAATATGGATAAAAACTGAGGCTGCAAGAACATGTTAAGAATGTCCCCAAGGTCACATAACTAGCAAGTGGCCAGGCAGAGATTGCTTATAAATTATAAGCCATTAAAATTTATAATTTAGGGAAAAAAACCCAAAAAAACAAAAAACAGCTGAAGTCCAGTCTCATTTGTGGTTCTAGCTTCTACCAGACAGCTGAACCCTTCATGGGGGGCAGTGGGTCCTGTTCCCACTGATGGCTCTCACTTTGGCCTTTCTGCATCTGTGTCCCTTGTGCGTGGCTGTAGCTTCTCTGCTTCTTCACTGTCCTGTTTAACTCTTTAGCAATTCCATTATCTTTGCAAACACGTTTTCACATTAAATCCCTCATTTGAAAATCCCAAAATTTCCTGACTGGACCCTGATTCTTAGTTTCTTATACCAGAAGTGGCCTGGTATCATTTAGCTTTTGCTGTATAACAAACCATCCAAACCCTTAATGGGTTGAAACAACACTACTTTTGCTCATCTATCTATGGGTCATCTGTGTGGTTCTCTTGGTTCAGGTCAGGCTCAGTTCATCTTGGCTAGGGAGGCAAAGTCATGCACCCTATAGCAAATATCTCTCTAAAAAAAAGAAAGGAGTCCTCCGCACCGGTTGAGATCTAGTGCTTTCAGGGAATAAGAGAAATGAAGATGTTCTGCTGAGAAGTCACCCTGGTAGAGCCCCCTCTAGCCTTCTCTCTATCTCTCTCTGTCTCTTTCTGTCTCTCTGCCTTCATTTTTAAATTTTTTATTTTTATTTTTTGGAGAGGCTTTTGGTATAGGGTGCATGCCCTTGCCGGGAAGACAGAGCCAAAGAGACAGAAAGTGAGAAATCACCCCCCAGGAGGGATGGCCACACTACAATCCCTTCTTCTCCATTCTCTTCTTGGGGTCTTGGGCACTCACGCACACGTGCCTGGCGTGATTATAAGCCATTGGGTCTGGGACTCAAACCGCAGTTGACTACATGGGAGTCCAGCGACATAGCTGTTATGCCAACTGCTGGTCCCAATTTTTTCTTAAAAAAAATTTTTTTGAGAGGTTTTGTCTATAGGGCATGTGGGCTCGCCAGAAAGACAGAGAGAGACAGAGAAACAGAGAGACAGAAAGCGAGAAATCACCCCTCAAGGAGGATGGCCACGCTGCAATCCCTTCTCCTCCATTCTCCTCTCAGGATCTTGGGCACGCACGCACATGCACCTGGCATGAGTTTAAGCCATCAGGTCCAGGACTCTAACTGTGGTTGATTCCATGGGAGTCCAGCGACATAGCCATTTCACTAACTGCTGGTCACTAAAAATTTTTTTTAAGGTAAAGTATTTTCTTGGCTCTCAAATCCTCCTTGATCTTGCTAACAATCCCCTCCCCTTTCCCTCCTTCCCATTTAGGAGAGGCATAAAGGGCAGGTCTTCAGAAGAAGACTGAGTCCTCCATGGGAGCTGAGATCTAGTGCTTTTGTGTGGCGTGCAAGTGCACTGTGCGGTTTTCATTTTTTATTTTTTTAAATAAATAGATTTTTTCTTTCTCTCTCTCTCTCTTTTCTGTTTTCTTATCCTTTTTCTTTTAACTCATCACTTTGCTACACAGCATCCATGCATTGAATATCTAGATAGGTCTAAGTGAAATGTAACCAAACATCCGAATACTATTAGGTCAACATATTTCTCATTTCTACTGAATTTGTGGTACAAAAGGGAGAAAAATGGGAACAGCAGAAAGTTTGAAGATCACCTCCTACCATGCACCTCTAATCACTCAGATTGAACTTCTAGAAATTAGAAAGAAATGAATAACTCATCAGATGACTAAAAATCACCACAGAGGCACAAGAAATATGAGAAACCAAGAAAAAAACCTTTCCCCCAGGGAAAAGAGTAACTTTTCTTCATCCACAGACAGTACAATAGAACTCATGGAAATGTCTAATAAAGAATTTAGAATATTCATAGTGACAAAGCTAACAGAGCTGGAAGAGAAGAGAGACAGTGAACTCCAGATGAAAAGAGCCGGCAAGTTCCAGGAGGTGAGGAAGTTCTTGCAAGAGCTGAAAGAGTAAATATGCACCATAAAAAAGAATCAAATGGAACTGTTGAGGATGAAGGCTGTAATACAGGGAGTCAAAATCTCCCTTGAAAGTATTAAAAGCAGACTAGATCATATCAAAAATTGGATCTCAGATGTAGAAGACAGAATCTCTGGACTAGTAAAATCCACCATGAAGACTGAGAAAATAGCCCCCCAAAATGAGAATAATATATGAGAAATACTAGGTACCATTAAACATCCAAACATCCGGATAATCAGTATCCCAGAAGGTGAAGAGACTAATTAGGGCATTGATAATTTATTCCATGAAATCCTGGAAGAAAACTTTCCAAACCTAGGGAG